CAGGTTTACATTATTTAAGAGTTCTACGATGGATGAAAATGGAAAAGAAGCCATAATCTCAAATGTGGTGATAGGTTAGATTATATATGATTATATGTGAAGTATGAGAACGGTGACCTCATTTAATAAGTTGGAAAGGAAGGAGAAATGGGTGAGACCTGCAAGCGGAAAAATAAAGCTGAATATTGATGCAGCTTTCTGTCAAAATAGTGGAAGGGCAGCTATTGGAATTGTTGGAAGGAATGAGGAAGGAAGTGGAGGCTATACTCCTTTTATGGCAGAAAGCCTTGCTTTAATGGAAACTTGCAAGTGTGCTGAGTTTCTACAGGGTGAATTGGTGACTGTAGAAACTGATTGTGCTGAACTTTTTAACAGAATGAAAAAGGGGCATGTCGAAGGGTATGAATGGCAGAGTACTGAAGTTCTGAAGATGTGTTTGACGATGCAAGGGTCCATGAGGAGTTGGGATTTAGCCTTGGTTTCCAGATCAGGGAACAAAGCTGCTGACTGTTTAGCAGCTAATGTTATGAGAGGTATGGTACCTTTTGGATGGCTTTCTCAGCCACCATCCTCTCCTTGGCATTTGATGCAGATGGATCTTGTTGACTCTTTCGCTGATGTTGAGGTCAGGACAGGAGGTGGCTAATTGCTTTGGGGCTTGGGCTGATCCTCCCCCCCCTCCTGCTTAGGCTTTATTGTTAGTTTGCATTGTTTTGGTGAGTTTTTTTGGTGTGATAGGTTGTATGCTTAGGTTTTTTTGTGAGTGCTTTTCTCTTTTAGGCCTTAAGTGGCTATTGGTGTTTGCACCTTTTCTGTTGTTATTAATAAATTGACTGTCTTTGCTCCCAAAAAAAAAAAAATTGATTATGTGTGTATGGTAAGAGCCCTAAACATTGCAGAGCTTGCCTCGAATAGTGATGAATATGGTAAGAGCAGTCTAGTGATAGCAAATAATATTGAGATTATAAACCGAAAAAACCGCATGTTGACGAATAAACCTGCATAAGCATAAAATAAAACCTTCAAAAGGGAATTTGCTCAAAAAAAAAAAAAAAACCTTCAAAAGGGAAACATAGTCGATGGCTACACAACTGCAGACTAGCTACAAGTAAAACCTCACTTTCTCTAAACACATGTCAACATGTTCCTCTAAAATTCGCTTAGTTAATTAAACAATGTATTGAAGCTGATTAGGAGACAAAACCAGAGGCTTGAGGCAAAATTAGGATAGAAATTAAAGAAAGGAACTTAAACAGCATGAGTAGCAGTAGCAGAGATTAATAAAAGTGAAACTGGCTGATTTGAAGGCTCTAAAGAGAATAGACAGTGATGCAGAAGAAGGCATATATTGAAATTTTGAGCTAGCTGCTTTGTTTCCTCTGAATTCGAGATTAAGAGAAAGCAACAGAAGAAATGAAAGTTGCGAATGATCAGATGGTGAAACAAGAAATATGGGGCTTCTTTGGTTTCTTGTTTTGGAAACAAGTTTTTGCTTTTGAAAACAGAAAAAAAAACATTCATTTGGTAATTTGTTTTTAATTGATTGTTTTAAAAAGCAAAAAACAGTAACATGTTTTTAAAAACTAAAAAATAAAAACAGCTTTTATTTGTTTTTTTATTCCTGTTTTTGTGTTTCTTATTTTTTGTTTTGAAAAATTTTAAAAAATCTTTTTTTTCCCTCACCTATTATCCAGCACCTATCACCACCAGCAACAACTATTACCTGTCAAATGTAATTTTTCATGATTTTTTTAAAAAAATTATTATCCAAACAAATTCTTTTTTTTTTTTTTTTGTTTTCAAAACTGATTCTAAATCAATCTATAATATTAAATCAAAATCAATTACAAGCCGGCTCATTTTCACCTCCATAATGGCTCTTCACTCAAATACTGTTCTATGAACAGTACTAGCTTAGGAATAGTAGCGGCTCAGTTTTGGGCTGCGCCTATTTTTAATTTTGTGTATAGTATTTTTTTTTCCAAGTGCTTTTTTTAAAGTGTCCAGATGGGAGTTTTAAAATTTGAAGTTCCCTCCATTTCAACTCTTTCTCACTCTTTGGGTTCAAAATCTGCAGGATTTCTTTATGATGCTTTTTTGACTTCCTCCCCACGTTATATCCAAAGTTTTAAAGTATAATAAGCAAATAAAAATTAATATTAGAAAGGGAAAATGACAATAAAATACCACCTGAATTCCAAAAAGACAAATAAGGGACCTGAATAAGCAAAATGACATATAGGGGATTGGGTACCAATCTGGAATTCAGATTTTTGGCCAAAAGACCAAAATGCCCTGTCTGAAAGTGAGAGAAAGGAGAGAGGAAGAAAGCGACGCAGTGAGAGAAAGGAGAGAGGAAGACCGACGGTGATGAAATGCGGGAAGAAGGAAAGAAGAATGTTGGAAATGCTATTATCTTACTCCTTCGCATCACCATTCTGTAGAGATTGTTGATTTGGTGGGTTTTGGTTGTGGGAAAGAGGATTTGTAGTGAGAGAGGGAGTGAACCTGCGGGGAAGATGAAGTGGAAATCAGAAAACAATGACAAGCAATTACATTACGTAACTGCTGTCATATGCCTGCTGGTTTTTGGTAAATCCCACTACGTGAATGGTAAATCTCACTATGTGAATGGTAAATTTTACTATACATGTAGTTAATTATGAATTTTACAAAATACATATTGTGATTTACAACTTTTGTAGTGAAAGTGACTACTTTGTTAATGGGTTTTGCAACCTGTTTTCAGAAGATAAATAACTTGTTTGTAAAAACTAATAAAATTTCACGCTAAATTTGACAAAACGTATAGTGGGATTTACAACTTCCGTAGTAAAAATGACCACTTATTCAATGGGTTTTGTAACTTGTTTTCAGGAGATGGGCAGCTTGTTTCTAAAAACTAATAAAATTTCATACTAAATTTGACAAAACATATAGTGAGATTTACAACTTTCGTAGTGAAAATGATCACTTCTTCAATGGGTTTTGTAACATGTTTTCAAGGGATTGGCAACTTGTTTCTAAAAACCAATAAAATTCTATGCTAAATTTTACAAAACATAGAGTAATATTTACAACTTTTGTAGTGAAAATTACCACTTCTTAAATGAATTTTGCAACTTCTTTTGAGGGGATGAGCAACTTGTTTCTAAAAATCAATAAAATTTTACGCTGAATTTGACAAAACACATAGTGAGATTTACAACTTTCATAATGAAAATGATCACTTCTTCAATGGGTTTTGCAACATGTTTTTAAGGGATTGGCAACTTGTTTATAAAAACCAATAAAATTATATGTTGAATTTTACAAAACATGTAGTGAGATTTACAACTTTCTTAGTGAAAATGATCACTTCTTAAATGGGTTTTGCAACCTCTTTTTAGGGGATGAGCAACTTGTTTCTAAAAACCAATAAAATTTCACATTGAATTTTACAAAACACACAGTGAGATTTACAACTTTTATAGTGAAAATGACTACTTCTTAAATGGCTTTTGTAACCTGTTTTCAGGGGATAGGTAACTTGTTTCTAAAAACCAATAAAATTTCACGTTGAATTTTATAAAACATATGCTGGGATTTACAACTTTTATGATAAAAGTGACCGCTTTGTTAATAGATTTTGCAATATATTTTCGGGGGATGAGTAACTTACTTTTCACCACCAATAAAATTTCACGCTGAATTTTACAAAACACATAATGGGATTTACAACTTTTATAGTGAAAGTGACCACTTCTTCAATGGGTTTTGTAAACCTGTTTTCACCGGAAGAGCAACTTGTAAGCATAAATAAATCATTCAGTGAACGTGCACCTGAAGTACATCACAATAAACATTGAACTATTAAGTTTCATAATTAACTACATGTATATTAAAATTTACCATTCACGGAATGGGATTTACCATTCACGGAATGGGATTTACCAAAAACCAGCAAACATATGACAGCAATTATATTACGTAATTGCTTGCTGACTATTTTCTGATTTCTGCTTCATCATTCACCAAATACTGAATATGAACCCTCAAATGCAATAATCCTGTTCCTATTTCACCATGAAACAGCCACAAAAATGAATAATCCAAATCCCGCCATCAACTTCTACTCACTCATGAATAATTCAAATACTTCAGCGACCTCTTCGACGACGACAATTTCAGGGGTACAAGTTATTTCAGACAGGGCAATGTATTTCAGCGATGGTAACCAAATTTAGCGATGGCAATCTACTCCTACGACGACGGCAACGTGATTTCGAAAAATCCTTTTTGGTGACTGCAGGAACTTGGATTTAGTTTCGTAGAAGGAAATCAGTTTCTCCCTTTCTCTATCGCATGAATACACTGCTCAATGTTCAGAGACAATCAGGGCAATTCGGTCTTTTGGCCGAAAATCTATATTCCAAATTGGTACCCAGTGCCCTATTTGTCATTTTGCTTATTCAGGTCCCTTATTTGTCTTTTTGGAATTCAGGTGGTATTTTATTGTCATTTTCCCTATTAGAAATGTATATGATGATATAAATATAAGAAGTAAATATAAAATTACTGCATATATATTTACGGTTGGCATTAATATTAACAGTTTTAAATTAAAAATTAATAGATGCAGAAATTACTTGAATTTTAATACGGTTAAAAAATCAATATTTAAATATTTTAATGTTTATAATAATTTCTATCTTTGAAAAAATAACAATATTATAATATAAATATTTTTTGACGTAGTAATATAAATAGTTTTGCTTACCTTTATAATATAGTAAAATTTTCAGATTTTTTTAAATTTGTAAATTTTTGGCTTTTGGAAAAATGAAAAAAAATTAATTATAACATATCCCAAAATTGACTGCCACACGCTTTCTCCCTGCAACACGCTTTCTGTAGTCTTGATAAGTCGTATACTTTTCTCCGTTGCCCTCATTTTTTGCTTCGAGTTTCATCTTTTCGTCATTTTAGCTTTAGTTGTGCTCTTAGCAAGTTCTGACAGGTTGTCACCAGATGTGGACTCCTTCGCTTCCTCTGCCTGGTAAATCGTCTTCTTTCTATTCTTTATTTTTTACTCTCTCCTTTGCGTGTTTCCCATTGTCTTTTCCCATTCCTCTTTTTTCCCCCCTCTTCTCCTCAATTTCCCAGGTGAATCGTTCTTGCAAAACCGTTGTGGGAGCTTAAGTTTGCGGTCTCCGATGCCGGCAACCGTTGGGTGAGGGTGGTGATAGATATTGGTAGGACGCTCTCATATAACGGCAAGGAGTGCTTCTGGAGCAGAACCTGCAGGTAGATCCTAGCTTTCTTCATCCTTTCACCTTTCTACATATCCTCTTCAAGTATGCCTCACAGTTTTATTTTGTCTTTTTATTTTAATGTATTTTATTGTTCTGTAATGGGTTTTCCTTGCTAAACGAAGGGTTTTTAAAATTCTTCACAAAACAGGCTGAACATTTTTATATTTCATTGTCAAGTGTTCATCATCCATTCTCAAAGCTTACGCTTCTATTACATATTATGTACTATAAAGTCAATTCAAATCCTCCATTGTTTATTTTTAAATACTGGGTTTTAATTCTTTTTCTCGTCTAAGTTATAGTGGGGTAGCCGGGTAGGTTTAGTGGCATATGCTGATGCAGGACTTATTCCTAAAACTACTGGGCTAATTCTCATTTTGTAGTCTCATTAGTGGCCCCCGGGAAGGCACACAGATGTTTTCATGAACAACGTCTTTGGTTCAAAGGTAATTATGGCTCAATAGTGCATTCACCCTAATATTGTGCCTTCCAGTATGATTTGTTTTCTGCATTTTTCTGGTACAATTATTTTTTTTCCAATGTCTTGCTTCATTTTTTTATGAGACTATCTAAGTTCATCTATCATATAGGAAGAATAGGATAAGGTGTGTTTTGCTTGGATATTGTGTTGTGAAGCTATAGGTTGAACATCAGCCTTACATTTACTTGCAAAAACTGGTATGGTGATTCAGTTTGCTTTGGTGAAGAGAGATCAAGGTTAACTTTTTTTCTGCTCTCATATCAGCTTTTTCATATTTGTTGTTTTCCTTCTTGATATTCATCCAGTGTTGTTTAATATCATAGAAGGTTGATTTGGTGTTGTATGATGGATGCTATTTTGTTTGGTGGAGGCTTGATATTAATTGTCACGAAGAGTATATACAATTTAATTTGTTAATATCTGCAGTTTTAACAGTGCCTTTGTGGGCTTCATACTTTCAATTTAAGAATAGTGGTGTATTTTTTTTCTCACATGAGACGTCACCCTTACCATAGTGTTTGTTTTTTATTTCCCTCCAAATTGGATTAGTATTAATTTGCTTCCCATCCTTGCTATAGTGCATGGTTCTTGAATTAGACTATTTGGTGTTTTGTTGGAATTTGTTGAGGTGTTCTAAATGTCAAAATCAAACTCACCTCTTGCAACATGTAGGGATTTTGGTATGGAATATGGATTTTGAATCCAATAGTGTACATTATCTAAGTATGAGAATTGCTACTCAATGGAGTATGTGGTTTATCCATTTAATAAACTCTTTTAATGAGCTGTAAGGTTTAAGGTGGTATGTCAAAGAACCAAGAGTTACCAAGGTCAGAGCTCATTTGTGGCATTTTGTTGCTCTTTTTGTGAGCATTATTGTTCTCTTGTATTCTGGACATATTTGTGTTGTTTTGGCCTAATGTAAGTTTGCAGTTAATGTCTCCTTTGTGAAATGTTAGACTGGAACTGGCAGGATCAGTGCTACTTGAGGAAATCGATTTGTTGGGGGTGGAGATGGAAGAATTTCCAAGTTTTTAGTAAACATGATGATACAATATTCTTAATGCATGGACCGATACAGCAATTTTTTTTTTTGGGGAAAATATAATTTCTCATTATGTCTTTTCATGGTTCTCAGTATTATAATGAATATCTATCTAAGCCCTTGGGACAGATTATTTATGTTAAAAATAATAAGTGCATTTATGTTAAAGAAGCCTGCTCTATACTTTTCAAAAGGAATGAGTTTTGGATGTTCTTGCAATGCTAGTACTGCAGGGGCATATTTGATGTTGTTTCCCAGAGTCTTTATATTTGCAAACATGACTACATAGACAGACACTTCTACTGGAATTTCCTGAGTTGCCTCTTTGAATAAATGTTTATGTCCAAGATTAGGCCAAGGCATTGTTTCCTTTATATTGGAGTCAAGTTTAGGTGACTGAAGCATTGGGTCTATTGATCTTCTTCAAATAGGTCTCAGGAAGAGAGAAGAAAAAGGAGATCCAAAAGTATGAAGCATGAAGGTAGTTAAAATAGCAAGGCCGTTCGGTCTCCTTGATTGTACATAGGCTCATAAAGTATATTCATATTCATATCAAGGAACCATAGGTAGCAATAACCATGGTATTGTCTTGAAAGAATCCCTTCAAGGGCTTTGCAAAAGAAAATCACGTCACATTAAAGACATGAATGTTCAAGTGAGTTTGGAGGCATTTGGCAAGTTGAATTGTGCACAGGGTCTTTGACCATTGGGCTATATTTTGTTGCCTTCATGACATTCTTTTGGGGACCAGCAGTAATAATTGGGGAAAAAAAAGGAAAGAAAAAGGTTTTTATAGGTTCTTCCATAAGGAAATGTTGTCTCTGGCTTTGTACATAGCATACCATCCTATATGCAAGACTAATTTACTTTTCATGAAAATGCAAAAAACTTACAAGCAAATAAATGTTAAGCTTTTGCATAAAAATGCAATCTAAAATGCCATTCCAAAATAAAGTTGTTTGGGGAAAAATTTTGAAATTATCAAGTTTTTGGCCAAAAAAAAAAAAAGACCATGCACCAATTTATAAGCATATGAGGTTGGAAAAGAGATACTTTGATTTATCGTTGGTATTAAAAAAAAAAAAAAAGGTCTGTTTGGATTAATGATAAAAAAATAGTTTATTTTTAATTTAATTTTTAAAAAAGTAAAATTGGGTAATGTGATTTGTGTTTGGATTAGTTTTTATAAAAGTTTATTGGTAAAGTTAAAAAGTTATTGGATTATAATTGAATAAGTTTAGTTTTATAGAATGACTAAAATGGGTATGATTTTTATTAAATAATAAAAAATGATTAAAAATATGAATTTACAAAATATAATAATTTTAAATTATTATCATAAAAAAATTTATATTTAATGAATAAAATATATTTAAATTAGAAATGTGAAAATTTTTTAACTAAATAATATTATATAATTAATTGGATAATATAGTCTACATAATTTATGTAAATACAAAGTAAAAAATAATATTAAAAATTAGAAATAAAAAATAAATAACTAAAAACTGATTGAGAAGTACAAAAAATATATAGATAGAGGCATAAGAACAACATAAATATAAAGATAAAAATATCTTTTGATTCCAAAAAAGTGATTTTGTATAAGTCATAAGTAAGTTTTAAATACTTTTATAATTGTGTTTAAAAAGGTAGCTTTTGATCTATAAGTTAGATTAGTCAAAAGTTATGATAAGTAACTTTCAAATTTACAAACTAACTTATCATATTTATAAGCTATTTTTTCCTCTTCAAAACGCCTTACCACCAAACAAGCTGAAAATTTGGCTTGCGCCAAAGTCACAATTTTTACGGTATGTACTACTTATAGACAGAGGAGGCAATTTCAATATCATTATTTATATATGGATGTGTGTTATTATGTGTTGATACTTTTGTGATAAATTAATATTATTGATTATATTGATTGAAGTGAACTCTTCCCGTGCATCGCACGGGGGTATATATGCTAGTTAGTTTTTATAAGTTAATTTTAACTTTTGTTTTTATAAAAATAATGCACGCACGCGTGCTTGCTTGTCACATACTCATTTTTATTGCAGAACTTTAACGATACATCTCCAGTATCATACTGGGCCTGGTACCCGTTTACGTGTCGATGTGAGAAAAGAGAAGTGGTAAAAAAGACAAGAACATCAAGCATGAACATGGAAAACTATTAGCAGAAATTCAATCCAAAAGTTATTATATAGTTCTAGATTAAAAAAAACTTTTAAATTCATATTTCTATAATTATCTTTCAACACACCGAATGGTTAAATAGAAAAAATCAAAATTACTCCTTTTGTCCAAATTAAAAGATAAAGATCAAATTGCTTTATCTGAATAAGTTTTCAGAGAGTTAAAACTAAAACAATTATGAAATAAGCAAAGAATCACAGCAAAGTAGCTCTCTGGACAAATATGTATTAAACTACTATATAAAAATGATTAAATATTATGAGCTCTATCTCTTAAAACTGCCTCGGATCTGCCAATAAAAAATTCTGTGGGATTGGGTCAGCTTAAGAAAAGAAGAGAAAAGCGCCAGGGATAAAAAAATCTCATGCCGTACTCATTTCATTGGAAATGTGCAACGAGCAAATTAAATACATCGTCTCACCAAATCTTAAAAAAAAAAAAATAGATGTTGAAGTTTTGAAATGAAAAATTATATATACTACCTCCGATTATTAATATAAAAACTAATTCGACATACGATTTAATTTTAAATAAAAGATTTCATTTCATTTTATCTCTCATATTTATCGATTTTTTTTAAAAGCTTCATCAAATGATAATTCTAACTAATACACATGATTAACAATGGTATTTTAAAGAAGATAACACCTATTTATTGTAAATAATTAACTTAACTAATTTTTTTAATATATTTAAATTAGTCAACCAACTCTTATATTAAGGACAAGTAATATATATATATAATATATATATATATATATATCTCTCAATTAGAGGGGTGTGGTCAAAGTAATGTCGCAAGCTTGCTCCCAATCTTGACATGGAAAATGTCAATACTCCATGTAATATATTTTATTTGTCAAATCTGGCTCCAAATGGGTTTACGAGGGTTCCAAGCAGCATCCTTGCTAGTCCGAACTCCCTGCCAATGTCGCAAGAAACTTCCTTTTAGTTAGCCTAAAAAGATAAAGGGTCAACATGACGCAATGTCCCACGAATGTTGCCAGTGTACGTAAGGTCAGCAATATTTCTAAAACTTCTTTTCGTTTAATCTCGATCGTTACTTGCACTAATACAAATTTATTTATAAATAAGTTCCATAAATTTGATAAGTTGCTGAATTTATACGTTAAATTCATTAGGGCGTTTTAGCGATTTTCACAATAATAACCCACCTTCAGCTTACGAGTTATTTAATAAAATAAAACTACGTCCACGTAGCATTTCGAGGGGTGGTAAGTTTTTTTTTTTTTTTTTAAAGAGAAATCTGAACCGCTGGTGATATTTGTTATAGATCTTTCATTTCAAATAATAGATATGTTGTCGTTTCGAAGCAACTTTATTTGCAGTTCCACAGGAGTTTCGAGCGTATTTTGTCGTCTTCTCTCTCAACCATTTTAAGTTACAAAACAGAATAATCATTAATCATAAACCTGAAGGCTGAAGCTATATGGTTGGAAGTTCGTCGTCAATGGATGTTAAAGAAAATAATATCATGCAAATTTCATTATAACATGAAATAAAAATTTTTTTTGAAGTATTGTTGCTGTATACCATTTCATCGGACTTCGTGAGCTTATTATGTGTGTTTCTAATCATGTCACGTTTAGTGTTTAATAACGTCTCGAATAAGCCTCTAATAAAAGAATATCTATTCTTAATTAGAAAAAAAAAAGGTGCATAAAGGAATGCTGGAGTAGTATTAGTTGGAACCACCAGAATAATTAAAAATTAATAAAC